GGTGTAGAGTGTAATTGGACTTGGGGGCTTGTGAGTTGTGGATTGTGCTGCTGTTGGGTAAGTGGTAAGTGTTAGGCAAAAAAAAAAAAAAGAATTTGTGGGGTCATTTGACCCCACATGACCCCATGTGGGTCCGCCCTTGGATATATACACAATCATACAGAGTCTAAAAAAGGTGGAGAAGCAGAAAATGACAAACTGACAATTAAAGAAGAAGCAAAGGCAGACACGATGAAAATGTACAAATTAATCACGTCCCGTCAATTTTTGATGATGTCTTTTTTCTTTTATTTGTTTAGTTCCAACATTATGTTAGGCTAAATTATTTTGTGCTAGAATTTATAATGAATCTTGTATTATGAACCTTTAAATCTTAGATTTTATTTATTTTGGCGTTTAAAACACGTTTTCAATTATTGAATGATTAACGTGAATTATTTTCTTTACAATTACTTGATCACTAATTGTATGAATATTGTGGCTTGTTTTACCTTCGAAAGATGAAAAATAAGTTAGACATAATGTCAATTATCGTAGAGTTCGATAGGGCATGTATCTTATTGAGTATTTTCAAAATACTCACTCTTACAAAAGTTTATAGGTTAGTTCGAGACGATTGGAATTGTGGCGGAATAGTGATGCGGACCGCCAAGTGGATCGAAGAGAAAAAGGAGAATGACTATTTAGTTTCTTTTATGTCTCCAAATTTATTTATTTTTTAAAAGACATGAATTTCATAATTTAATTTAAGTATGAATGTTCCAGTTATTTCCTTATTAAAGAAATTAATTTATTTTTTTTATCATTTCGCCTTCAATATATTACAAAGAAAGTTTTCGTAACACTCTAGATTGATGAAAATTTGGGGCATTACAGACTTGATTATTTAAGCACATAGCGATATTGTCTTATCACTTATGTTGGGGTATGACTTGATTAATTGGATCTAATTGTTGATGTTGTTGACCTAGATTCGAATAAAAATTTTCAAATCCTTTCTATGAAAACAAAATTGCTAAAAAAATAGTTTGGGGTGGGAAGGTCAGAGCTTGTGTTCATAGAAGTTTGATGGTAAGGAGTTCTCGGATCCCAATGTTAGTTGAAAGGGTTTGAGTTAAGGAGTCTAAAACTAACAATGAACACTTTTAAATTTTAAATCTCATACATCTTTTACTTCTTTTCGTAACACTTATGACTTGAGTGATTAAACCTGCTAGGGTCTTTAAAACTCAGTGCCGTATAATCATCTAATTTTGTAATCATCGGCCTAAAGCTCGCTACAGGATTCATTTAGAAAGTTTAATGTAAATAAGTTTTACACATAAGATGTCAAAAGAATGAAAATTAGATTCTCATATTACAAGAAAAAATAATACATCTTCTACCTCTCTTCGTAGCTTTTTTGACTCGAGTTATTAAGCATGTAAGGGTATCTAAAAACCTAGTGCCATATAGTGATCTGACTTGAGAGTCATTGGCCTAAAGCAAGCTACAAGGTCATTTAGAAAATTTAATGGAAAGAAGTCTTGCACAAGAGATGTAAAAAAAAGTTCTAAATTATCAAAAGCGAAATGTGCCCAGTAAAGACTTTGATATTTGAACTCTAGAGATTGATGGTGTGACTTTGAGCAATATTTGCCATCTTTTGTCTAGGTTTACAAGTATCTAATTCTTATTATTCCAAGTGAAAAAAAAATGCTTTTTAATGATTTTTAGAACCCATTTGTGCTGGAAATACCTCGACATAGGTGAGAAAAGCATAATGAGTGATTTTGCACAAGTGGTGTGAGGAAAAAGACCACAAGAGGATTGAGATTGGGAATAAATCAACATGTAATTGGTTGTGTTCTAGTATGGGTGTAAGTTCAATGTTGGCTAATAACACACACACACACACACACTAAGTCGAGCATTGGGTAAACAAAAATATATTTTTGATGTTGTTGTTTGGATCTTTCTAAACTGTTATTTAAATTTTAACCCGAGGCATATGGTAAGTAGTTCTATTTTGAGTATGTTATTTGTGATTTGTTTTAGGTAGTAATATGGTTTAT